AAAAGCAGATTGTTCAGATTTGGAGGGTTTGATGATTCAGATTACATTGTTGGATATCTGTTTCTTAAGTGTGTCTGTGACTGTTGACTGATGCAAAACTAAAAAGCTCCCTTTTTTTGACTCTTTTGAGCTGAGTTTTTCTGATTTTGGAATACAGAAAGGACATACTGCATCATATATTGTTGTTGGATACCAGGATAATAGAATAGAGATCAAGTTATGTGATCCTTCTCTGTCTGTGCATTTACCCTCTCTGTTTTTCTTGAAAAAGAGCCAAAGCTTGAAAAATTACTGTCAAGAAGGATATATTTATGATGAATATTCATAATGTCCATATGACACTACAGAGTTGTTTACCATTTGAATTGAACCTACGGTTTGTGACTTCACAGTATACGATAATTCGGTCTTCAAAGTGTGTTTTGTTTCATGGCTTCAGGATGTTTGTTAATTGGGTTATCTGGTAACCAAATTGTGCCGCTAAACCCACCTGCCTGTTTGACTTCTTGTGGTACATATGGTGTAGGCTAAAATGTCAAATAATTCAGATGTCAATTTGTCACACTCCCTATTCAGCTCTCTTTTAAGGTGAGAGATGATTTTTATAGACCATGCAAAATATAGGGATGCACAATATGTTGGCACCATATAGGTTACTGGCCAATATTGGAGATTTTTAGTTCAGGAGATTTTGGAGTACATTTTTAGAAAATTTTCATTTTTGGGTGAACCATTCCTTTAATTGTGTCTGCTCATTTACAATGTTTGTACATTAAGATTACCTTTGTCATCATACAATATTCACTTAAGCTAATCTTTAAAAACGTGAATACTTTAATAAAATTGTTAAATGAATGCAAAAAATTAATATCCCATTTCATACGGTACATTATCATGTTGTGATGCCTAAATGTACTTGTATCTTTCAAAATGATTTATTTTATTTTTTAGTGTTTTAATTTATTTTTTACAAAATAGTAAAGAATTATAATATCTATCATATATCGTCTCTAGGTTACGTATGTAACCATGGTTCCCCGAGGGAACGAGACGCTGCGTCGAGATCGCTTTGAGAACGCCCTTGCGTGACCGCGTTCTGAAGCACGTGTCAAATCCGTCCAATGGAGCAGCGAGACGTCACGAGCAGGGTGACGTAAGCACCAGAAAGCATAAAAGCGCATCCGGCGAATGATGTGCGCTACCGGCGCCTATTTTGTACTAGTCGCGACGGTAGTGACGTCATGGCTGTCGCCGGCCAAACAAGTTGGTGTTTTTTCAATGTAGGCTTCAGACACGGGTCACGACGAGGCGTTCCCCATAGCGACCCCTAGAGGACGCAGTTCGAAGTTCCACGAAAGGGAATCTTAATTAGTTCTAAATAGTTCTGAATTTTTTGTTTTTTTTTACTAAATGAAATGTGTTCTTTTTTTGTAGTTGATATTGTCAGCCTAGGGTGTTTCCAAAACATGGTTATTATTGTTAACTAAAACTAAAATAAAAAAAAATAAAAAAGTTTTGTTAACTGAAAAAAAAAAAAACTTATTTCAACTAATTGCCCAAGGCAACATTTCTCATTTTCATTTAGTTTAACTTGGTGTGCTAAAATATCTAAAACTGAAATAAAATTGAATTAAAAAAAACTCAAAAGCTAATAAAAATGGCAAAAACACCAAAAATGAATAAACATTTTTAAAATTAAAACGAAAATAGAATATATATATATAAACTAATTCAAAATATTAATAAAAACTATAATAGTATCTCAATGATACTAAAATTACATTTTGTGAGGGCTCTGTACATAAATACTCGTGTATTTGAAATGAGATGCAAGAGAGAAAAAAAAGATGAAAATAAAATTCAAAACTATGTTGAGAAGAGAATTGAATTGCCTGAGGAAAAGCCCAAGTAAACAATTATTTATTCATTGTTAGGTGCATTTTGAAAAACATCTCCATCTTATGTAAGTTAAAAGAAAAGTGTCTCTCTTTTCTCAAAGAATTGGTGTGTGGCATCTTGATGTTGTACTGCTCTTACCCAAGGCATTTTTTTTAAACTATAGTCAAGACTGGTTGAAACACAATACAAGACTGGCAGGACGACTCATAAATGTTTTTTTCATGTTTGAGTGTTTAGAGCTCCACTGGGGTCTCAGTGGGTTTATGAGGTAGTGGTGTTCTGCATGTGTGGCACTTTCTTGGCATGGAAATGCTTTCCCAGACAGTTTCTCGATTACGATTCCTTACATTTCACCTGAAGGAGAAATGCACACACATCAGCTTCGGACAGACTGTGAAATCCTGTTAGTCAACTGAGCACTGATGCTCTATATAGAATATAGAGCACATAGATGTACAAACAGAGAAAGTGGAGGGGACAATAGGTTAAAAACGACTGGTGAGTCAGAATAGGAAGCTCCGTCCGTCCCTTCCTCCATCTCTTCGTCATGTAAACAGATAGGCTGAAAGCACATAGGCTGAAAAGAAACAATTTTAGTGTTGTCATCATGTCATGTGGCATTTACATGATGTTTAGGAAACTACCATGAGTTGTTGGTAGTACGATAATGTAGTAGTACTATATATAGTATGGTATACTACTATATGCTGGTAGTACTATATACTGTAAATACTGTAAAAATCTGTTTCTATGTTTAGATTATATTTGCAGTCATCTAATGTTCACTTAAAGTCAGTGTTATTTTAGTATTAATTATATACAATTATAGTATTTATTAACATTTTAAATTAGCTTTTATTTTAAATTTTTCAGTTTTGATTGTTATTTTAATGTGTTTTTCTTTGTAAATTTTGTTTTGCTTTTGTCATTTTTTTTTTTTCAAATAGTTATTATTTGTTATACTTATTTCATTATACTTATTTCAGTTTTATTATTTTAACTTATTTCAATTAGTATTAAATAAGGCAACATTCCTTGCATTTTTCTGAGTTTAAGTTTTTCATCTAATATTTTATTTTATTTTACCAAAAGCAGTTTTTAATCGTTTTAACAATAACAACACTGCTTAAAATCCTTAAACACTGATCAATTAATAACTTTTGAATGTAATCTTTATAGAATATTAAAATTAATATACATTTTTCATACTATACGTTATGTTGTGAATGATACCTAAATTCAGTTGTAACATTTAATGATTTTTTTTATTTTTTAGTATTTTACTTTTATTTTATTTAGACAAAATCGTCCATTAATCAGCTATTGGCCATAGCATGAAAATAATTATGGGCTTATCTGTATATCAGCCAGAATTTTAATACCCATGTATTGCTAATAAAGGTTAACCGGTGATCATTCGAGTAAGATGGCTTTAACTCCTTAATGTTATTTTTAAATGTTTAAATAAACACATTAGCATGCAGTCTTCATGAATTAATGTGGACCGTTTACAGACACATTCAGCATTTCAGATTCATTGTAGTCAGATATTTGTATTTTCTAGATCGGGATGACACAAGTTCTCATTTCTGTCTGAGAGAATCTCCTTTGTCCAGTCCCACCTTGGAGTATGGAAAAATTATATATCTATTTGGAATTGACCTGCAATAAGAAGAATGAAACCTACCTTTTTTTCCAGTCATGGATCAAAAATGGATAACCATGTATCTGCAGCAATAGTAAGCGGTCATCATCACTATGGCTTTTGTATCCCAGACTACTGTTCCATCTTTACAGCAGAAACCCAAGCTCTATTATTTGCTCTGGATCATATTGAAAATGCAAAAGAAAGAAACTTCATAATGTTCACTGACACAAAATCCTGTTTGCAAGCACTGGAGTCTTTAAAAACAAATCATCCAATAATTGTTGACATATTCATCAAAGCAAATCAGTTGCGGAGACTCAATTATGATATTCCAGGACATAGAGGAATTATTGGAAACAAACAAGCTGACATAGCTGCAAAACAGGGTCTTACAGAAAATGTAAATGAATGCCAAATTCCACCTTCTGATGTGAAGCCAGTAATCAACAGATACATATTGGAGAAATGGCAAGCGGAATGGGAAGAATGTCAAAATAACAAACTTCTTGAAATAAATTCTGTTGTAGGAACAAGATATATTTATTCTTTTAAAGCCGGGCATGACCAAGTTGTGTATTCAAGGTGTCGTATTGGACATACTAGATTAACTCCTGGACATTTATTGATTGGTGAAGTAGCACCAAAATGTCAATATTGCACGATTCACTTGACGGTGAAACATGTGCTTTTGGTCTGTCCAATATTTAATGTCATGAGACAAAGGTTATTATCAGGACAAACTCTTAAGGACTTGTTTTATAAGCTGGACCCAGAAAAACTTTTACAATTTCTTTCAAAAGTAAATTTAAAGAATCTTTTATAGAATTTTATGTGCAATACTTTTTTTGTTGCAATTGCAAGTCAGATCTGTACATTTGAATTTTGCATTTTAACGGAGAGACAAGGTGTTTGAAAGTCCTTAACGCTCATTTTGAAGGAGATTTTTGTGGACACGCAGCCAGTGACAGAGAATAAGTTGGCTGGAGAATTATGCTTCAAAAGTCCTTAGCTTGTTTTGCCAAAGAAGTGCATTAGAGTGCTTTAATTGATTACGCTTCTTTGTTTGTTACCCTTCACGTACCTCAATGATTGTAAGTTTTATTTATTCTTAAAAGCTCTGCAGAGTTGAAATGTCCCACACACACATCATTCCGCAGAGGTTATAATTTTACAAAAGAACAACTTGGGCTCAGCCAGGGATCCTGTGTGTTACAGTGATTTTACCATAATGTGTTATTACAAAGGGTGAAGCAGCAGTGAACTTAATACGTTTATTTACAACTTATACAGTTCATTAGTCAAATAGATTTGTTGCAACTTGTCAAATGTATAGGCTTCATTTGCTTTGTTTTCAGATGTGCATATTGCAAATGTTTTTTCATTCAGTTTATATTTAAAATGCAGAGATTGCTTGGTGAACTTTATGAAATAATGTTGGCACCTATTGTTCTGTTTCCCAGGTGCTAGCAACAGGGCTGAGTGGACTGTATTCATCCCTGCCACGGAAGATTGAGGTACGGGGCGACGACTGGCATGCCTTGCGGAGGGAGGACTGGATGGGCGTCTCCTCTCTAGTGCTTTTCATGAACAGTCTTGAATTCTGCAACGCTGTAGTACAGGTGGCACACCCTCTTGTGCGCTGCCAACTCCTTGACTACCTCCACAATGGCTTCCTGGTTCCAGTCATAGGCCCCGCTCTGCACAAGGTGAACCACACTGAACTGGGCTGAAGATGTGAGCCATATTTGGCGTAGATGGCAGTTTCCATATTAATTCATTATAAAACAATGTTTTGAATAGTATTCGTTTTCTCTTATTTTGATTTCTCTCTCTCTCTCTTTCTCTTTCATGGTTCCTCTGTCAGTCGTCAGTGGATGAGATGATAGCAAGCACGGCATATCTGGACTTGTTTTTACGCAGTATCACAGAAACTTCCCTCCTTAAGACCTTCCTGTGCTTCATTCTGTTGCATCGCCATGACAATGACACCATCCTTGATACACTACTCACACGCATCAGCAGCAATTCACGGGTTAGTTTGGCACATGCTACAGCTAGGGTGCATGTATAGATAGAAAATACACTGTTTTGTCAGTGCTGTAGACTTAGCATTGAAGAAGCAGTATATTCCTGGGAATGTGGAGTGACTGAAGTTGCATTGTTTTTTCTTTCCCTCTCTTTGAAGCTGTGCATGGTCTCTCTGAGTCTGTTCAAGACATTGCTCAGTCTCAACTGTGAAGACCTCATGCTCCAGCTTGTTCTCAGGTATTTTGTGTGCTTGGGTGTGTGACTCAATTAGCAATCACGAAAGCCTACAAAATATGCTTTGGCTGGATTTGGACAATGCATTTTGCAAATTGCAATGCATTACATAAACTACCATTCAAAGGTTTGGGTTCAGTACGATTTTTTAAAAATAAATTAAATACTTTTATTCTGCAAGGATGCATTTGATCAAAAGTGACAGTAGAGACATAATGTTACAAATGATTTCTATTTTAAATAATTTTAGATATAGCTGCAAAACAGGCTCTTACAGAAAATGTAAATGAATGCCAAATCCCGCCTTCTGATGTGAAGCCAGTAATCAACAGATACATATTGGAGAAATGGCAAGCGGAATGGGAAGAATGTCAAAATAACAAACTTTTTGAAATAAATTCTGTTGTAGGAACAAGATATATTTATTCTTTTAAAGCCGGGCATGACCAAGTTGTGTATTCAAGGTGTCGTATTGGACATACTAGATTAACTCCTGGACATTTATTGATTGGTGAAGTAGCACCAAAATGTCAATATTGCACGATTCACTTGACGGTGAAACATGTGCTTTTGGTCTGTCCAATATTTAATGTTTTTCTGAGTTTAAGTTTTTCATCTAATATTTTATTTTATTTTACCAAAAGCAGTTTTTAATCGTTTTAACAATAACAACACTGCTTAAAATCCTTAAACACTGATCAATTAATAACTTTTGAATGTAATCTTTATAGAATATTAAAATTAATATACATTTTTCATACTATACGTTATGTTGTGAATGATACCTAAATTCAGTTGTAACATTTAATGATTTTTTTTATTTTTTAGTATTTTACTTTTATTTTATTTAGACAAAATCGTCCATTAATCAGCTATTGGCCATAGCATGAAAATAATTATGGGCTTATCTGTATATCAGCCAGAATTTTAATACCCATGTATCGCTAATAAAGGTTAACCGGTGATCATTCGAGTAAGATGGCTTTAACTCCTTAATGTTATTTTTAAATGTTTAAATAAACACATTAGCATGCAGTCTTCATGAATTAATGTGGACCGTTTACAGACACATTCAGCATTTCAGATTCATTGTAGTCAGATATTTGTATTTTCTAGATCGGGATGACACAAGTTCTCATTTCTGTCTGAGAGAATCTCCTTTGTCCAGTCCCACCTTGGAGTATGGAAAAATTATATATCTATTTGGAATTGACCTGCAATAAGAAGAATGAAACCTACCTTTTTTTCCAGTCATGGATCAAAAATGGATAACCATGTATCTGCAGCAATAGTAAGCGGTCATCATCACTATGGCTTTTGTATCCCAGACTACTGTTCCATCTTTACAGCAGAAACCCAAGCTCTATTATTTGCTCTGGATCATATTGAAAATGCAAAAGAAAGAAACTTCATAATGTTCACTGACACAAAATCCTGTTTGCAAGCACTGGAGTCTTTAAAAACAAATCATCCAATAATTGTTGACATATTCATCAAAGCAAATCAGTTGCGGAGACTCAATTATGATATTCCAGGACATAGAGGAATTATTGGAAACAAACAAGCTGACATAGCTGCAAAACAGGGTCTTACAGAAAATGTAAATGAATGCCAAATTCCACCTTCTGATGTGAAGCCAGTAATCAACAGATACATATTGGAGAAATGGCAAGCGGAATGGGAAGAATGTCAAAATAACAAACTTTTTGAAATAAATTCTGTTGTAGGAACAAGATATATTTATTCTTTTAAAGCCGGGCATGACCAAGTTGTGTATTCAAGGTGTCGTATTGGACATACTAGATTAACTCCTGGACATTTATTGATTGGTGAAGTAGCACCAAAATGTCAATATTGCACGATTCACTTGACGGTGAAACATGTGCTTTTGGTCTGTCCAATATTTAATGTCATGAGACAAAGGTTATTATCAGGACAAACTCTTAAGGACTTGTTTTATAAGCTGGACCCAGAAAAACTTTTACAATTTCTTTCAAAAGTAAATTTAAAGAATCTTTTATAGAATTTTATGTGCAATACTTTTTTTGTTGCAATTGCAAGTCAGATCTGTACATTTGAATTTTGCATTTTAACGGAGAGACAAGGTGTTTGAAAGTCCTTAACGCTCATTTTGAAGGAGATTTTTGTGGACACGCAGCCAGTGACAGAGAATAAGTTGGCTGGAGAATTATGCTTCAAAAGTCCTTAGCTTGTTTTGCCAAAGAAGTGCATTAGAGTGCTTTAATTGATTACGCTTCTTTGTTTGTTACCCTTCACGTACCTCAATGATTGTAAGTTTTATTTATTCTTAAAAGCTCTGCAGAGTTGAAATGTCCCACACACACATCATTCCGCAGAGGTTATAATTTTACAAAAGAACAACTTGGGCTCAGCCAGGCTTTGAGGAATAAATACAGCATCAAGAGAGGACAGCAACTCATTCCTTCCATCTAGTAGCATAAAGATCTATTTCTTATTGCTTGACTTCCTCAACACAGGCTTTGCTGCACTATATTCACGTCAAAGGCACTTTAAACAATCTGTTTTGCCATTTTATATGCATGACAATTAATATTTTTAGTCAAATTTAATTGTTTTGAGTCTTTTGTCTAGAGCGGTCTGAATCCCTCAGTTTGGAAGTGCCAATCACTGCATAGAAAATGCATGCTGGGAATGGCTGAGCTTTGAATTTGTGTACCTCTGTACTCTGCTTAACGTTTCCTCACTTAAAGTGAATAATACATTGGGTGAATAATGCATTTGCTTGTGATTGCATAAAGTACACAGTGCCACAACAATTGTGGACACAACATTATATCTGGAAAACATTCATCATACATAGTCTGTTCATCATACAAAAATGATACAACAAAGAAATTGACCTTTGCTTTAATATGCAATGACCAGCAAAAATGAATTTATTCGTTATTAGATGTCCTCATTAAACATTTTTTTTTTCTTAAAATTCAGAACAATTATTTTTTAATTACATGACTTAAGATCAGAGGTGCTCCTCGTCTGCTCATCCTGTTTCCCCAAAAAGGGACTCCTGGCTCTCTCATGGGACAACATTGATGAAGATGAAAAGACTCATGGTGTAAGATTCATAATGAAGGATGGTAAACAGCTCAACTGGGTGATTATTTTTAATAGAAACTCCAATTACATGTGGTCACAAGAAAACATTTGCACTATATTAGTGACTGGAGAGTCATATAAACAACTCATTAAGATTTACTGGACAAAAAGAGCTGATTCATCACTGTGATGACTTTGTCCATAAAGCATGAAATCTGTCCCAATAACTTTGTGTGTGTATCCGTTCAAAGGTTTGGGGTCTGTAAGATTTTAAAATATTTTTGATATGACGTTTCAAATGCTCACCAAGGCTACATTTGTTTCAAAAATACAGTCAAAAATACAGTAAACCAGTAATAGTTTGAAATATTATTACAATTTAAAATAGCTGTATTCTATTTTAATATATTACAATATGTAATTTATTTCTGTGATGAAAAGCTGAATTTACAGCAGCCATTACTCCAGTCTTCAGTGCCACATGATCCTTCAGAAATCATTGTAATATGCTGATTTGGTGATCAAACAGAATATTTTGTAGAATATTTTTTATTTTTGCCATGAAAATATCATTTGATGCTAATATGGCTTATACTGAAGTTATTTTATATCTATATAAAGTATTTATATACAGTGTGGGTTGAGACGATTCCAGAAGTAAAGTACAAATATGAAGGGTTTCCTATTTTGTGACAGTAACATGATCAGCTTTGAGCCGATAATCTGAACAGAAATGTTCTGAGCATCAGAACAAAGCACTTCCTCGTAGTTCTTTTATTTAGCCAACTTTAGAAATAGCTGTTTCATTGGCATGCTTCTACCTGCAGATGGGAAAAGACAGAAGCAGAAACGAAACATGTCTCAGCCCAAATTGAAACCACTATCCAAGTTCTGAATGGTGCTATTAGTGATAATGACATAATTATTGGCTCTAGTTGGTAAAACAGATACCTTTGTGAACACACACTGTGAACAAATTATCACCCTTCCTACACATCTTTAAAAATGTATAAGGATCTCAGGCTGCAGGGCCAGCAACTTGATAAATTCAGTTTCTTTTCAGCACATCTTAGAGTATGTGTTGAAAGAACTGATGTTGAAAGAAAATACTTGCAGTCTTTCAAGACATTGGATGTCTTGAATACTTTTCATACATATGACTATATCCATTAAACATAAACTTAAATATTTAATAATTAAATGTGTTCTCTGTAAGCAGCAAGTGTTTGGGGATCAAAACAAATAAGACGTCATTTGATACACTGTAGTTGATTTACTGTCTGACTCCTAATTACATGTGTGATGAAGCAGAACTCATATGGCAATTAACCACACTGTTTAAAAAAAAATAGGCTGACTGGCATTTCTTGCATGCCAGAAGCTTTTCTGTTTTTTTTTGTTTATCTGCTCTGTTAGGTGTGTGCGTCGTTGCATATGGCCATTTGAGATCATTTCTCAGCAGCCGTCTGTGTAGTTGGATAGCTAGCTCTGGGAAGGCCCCCATAAGGAACTGATGGACCATTACATGACAACAGCCTCTGACTTTCAGCACTTACAATAAAACATATTTCGGTCCCACTGAGTTTCTAGACGTGATATTAGTCCCCTGCTATGTTTGTATCGTGACTGATTGGTGTCCAAAATTCTTTAGTTTTCTTTAATATCTTGCTATCTTTCCTTTTTGTAGTATTGCACACCTGCTACTTTCTGGAGATATATATATATATATACACACACACCAAAAAACAAAAAACTAAGTAAATATCACATATGTGCAGAATATTTTACAGTAAAGTTGAAAATTGACAATTGAACTTATGCAAAAAGTTTAAAAATATTATAGTTGAATTGTATGTTATTTAGCAATGACACAATGAAATTAGACAAACATGTCCAAAAATGTTATTTCCATCACAGATTTTTGAGATGTGGTGGACATTTTCATTCATATTCATAATCATAATCATATTCATAATTCAATCAT